TTCTTTTTATAATCTTTTTCTTTGGCTAAATCCTTGACCTTTTGATTTGTATGCAGATCTCTTCAGACAAAATGATTGTGAATAGGGTCACAGAATTACGGCATTACCATTCTCAGCATAGAACTGAAATCATGAAGTTACTTGATATGGAAAGATCACATATCAAAAGATTTGTTGATGTAGTAGAAGAAAAATTTAGGCAATTTGATGCCAAAGGGCAAAATGTGCAGAGTCATCTCAAACCAGGTGAATGTGAGTGTGGAGATGTATATATGAGTGCTGATGCTGAAGCTGAGTCTGTATCTGAGGTTTGTTACTTAGAGGCTAATGTGGCACAATTGCTTGTTTGTTCTCTCTCTCTTTCTCTCATTTATGTCAAAATCTAGTGCCGTCTTTTCTGCTGATGGCTTTGCATATAGAAGTTTTATTAGAGAAGTATCCTTGGTTGGGTAAATCCTGTTGTTCTAAAATGAGTTATGTAAAGCTGAAAGAAATGGAAGTATTTTTGGATCTTTTTTTTATTTTTTTTTTATTTTGGTGTTCAGTTTTGACTATTGGCTCTGTTGTCTTTTGATGCTAAAGCTTTTAATTTGAAAGATCTATTTTTCTGGAATAGCAAGTGCTAGACTAATTTGATAAAAGATATTTGAAGCAAAAGGAACTTTGTCTTACTGAAGTTATGAAAAGGGTTAGATCAACCTGCTATGTTCAAATCCATGTCATTTCAATGTGAAAACTTTGGCTGATAAAAAATTGTACATATTTGTAAGTATTCATGTTAGGGACACATTTGGATTTTAGCAAGTTGGCTGTAGTATTGATTACTGCCCTTCTACCATGTAGTTTCAAGCTGTAATTTCTATTTATCTCCCTTATCTTTTGTAGAGGGATATGGTGGACTTAAATATTGCTGAGAGAAAAGGTGATACCTCAGAAGCCCTTGCACAGGCATTACAAGAAAAGGTTTTGAACATTTGTTATGTCTTGTTATTGTCTGGTTTCTGTTAATTTATACATTTTGTTTTCTCAGCCTTGGGTTCTTTTGGCAGGTGGCTGCGCTGCTGCTTTTATCACAGCAGGAAGAGAGACATTTACTGGAGAGAAATGTTCATGCAGCTCTTCAGAAAAAAATAGAGGAGCTTCAGAGAAATTTGCTTCAAGTAACTTTCTTGGCTTAACTCGAGACGGATGCACATTTTATTTTTATTGACTATTTGTTGCAGCACATAAATTGATGATCATTTTGCCTTCATGTCAGTTACTATCCATAACTGTTGGTTCATGCTTTGAGGCCTTAGACTACATTTATGTATTTGAGGTCTACTTTGCTTAGGTCGAGTCTCAGAAACCCTTTTGCTTTTTAAATTTTAAACTTGATAAGTTTCAAGTGACACTATCTGTCGAAGACTTCAAGCATTGTGTTACTATTCCTTGTTGGTTGGGAACAAGAAGAGCAAGTCTCCTTCTTTTGTCCAGACCTCCAACATTGATTTGTAGTTTGATTTACTATTGTTTACATGATGTATGCTGTCCTTACTATTTTGTTGAATGGCTTCTATTTTTAGTAGAATGGTATCCTTTGATAAAACATAATGAAGTTCTAAGAACTTTGTTGGTCTACTCAGGTTACAAATGAAAAGGTGAAGGCTCTCTTGGAGTTGGCACAGTTAAAACGGAAGTATCAGTTACTGCAAGAGTAAGATTTCCTCTGTGTCATGACACTATTTTGTTAAGTTTTTTTTTTATTAGTATTATTTATATATTTTTTATGTTCTTGTGAATAGCTCCAAGTTGGAACCTATATAGTATGTCATTATATGGCTTATCTCGAGTCAAAGAATGTTCTAGATAAGGAATGGATTGCCATGTTTTTTTATTTTATACAAATTATTATTCCAAAGAATGGAGAAATATGGCCAAATTCCTCTTCTTGTGCCTTCTTTAATCATATATTTGAAGGTCTTAACTTTGCACCCCCTTGTTTTTTTATCTCTGTTTCCTGATTGTTTGCATTATGTGCATCTATGCTTCTAATGATCGTTGACTTGCTTATGGTGTCTAAATTGTGTATTCGGCTAATTAGAAGGTTACACACCTATCACAGGAAAATCAGTAATGAGATGAAACAAGGCAATGTTTTGGCTGAAGCTGCAAACAGAAGAATTATTACTTATGAAAGAGATGGAAGGCTAAGAAATCTGCTAAAGAAAACATATCTTAGACGCTGGGTTGGTGCAATAGATGCAAGGGAAAGTGAAGCTGAAGCTCAGCCAAGTAGCATGGATTTTGCTAGGTATCTAAATATGCTGTCTATATTTTAATTGCATGGCCTGTAATACCTGACTGTAGATAGATGGTTCTTATGCATGTGAGATGTCCTTTGTTCTCTATACCAACCTTTCAGTAGAAAATAATTCCTTTGTGCATTATGTTATTACCTCTCCTTTTTCCCAGGATGAGGATTGAAAATGCTACACTTAAGGAGAGTATGGAGAGTATGGATCACCTGACTTCAACAGTTCGTAGACTGCGTCTTTCGCTTCTTAAGGTAATCTTCCAAGGTGTTGGATTGGCTGTTTTTGCTTCAGACTTAGGTGTGGTTGTGTGATGTTCTAGAATGTTTTAGATGCTTGGGTTTGATTAGTGATTTATGAAAAATTTGTTGAGGTTTTAGTGAGTTTAAGATATAAATATTTAATTGTTATTATTATCATACTGTTAAAGTAATATAATGTATTCTCACTATTATGTTCTGTCATTATGAAATTTCTTATGCAATTTTCCCATGGGAAGCTAAGTTGTGTTAGTAGTATCTTTTGTATTTCTTGTTTGAAACAAATGACCCAAGACTTAGTTGTATTCTGGTTTTTAGGTAACGGAGTCAATTACTTCTGAAGGTGCAGATAGTAGTTCATCAGAAGCTCTTGATGAGATTGTTACAGAGGCAAAACTTGTGAAGACTGCCCTAGGCAGCTTCCTGCCGGTTAGTTGGTCAGCTGAGGGAGATGGTGAATTAATTCGAGAAAATATGGGCAGTGAGGCGGGTAATATTTTTGAGGATTCGAGGAGTGAGAAAATAGATTCAGTTTCCGCTGCAGGGTTTGAGATGGTGGATCTACTGATACTTGCTGCTCAGATATTAAAGGAAAGAACCAGAACTGACTCTTTAAGTGGAAGCTGATATTATTCATGTTCATTTTCCAACCTTGGTTTCAGCTGATACTTGTGGTGCCTTGTATAGAAGAACAGCCCCATCAATGGGTATCTTAGGAGAGGTTGCAAAACAAAGGTTCCGTTTCAGCGCTGCATTGGGAGGGGAAAGATAACGAAAATTTGTTCTTCATAGGGGGAATTTCAACATCTGTGCCTGTGCGGCTGAGGAAGTCCATGACTTGTCAAAGATTAATTTATTTGTAGTTATTAATGATGTAAAAGGGTGTTCTCATCAGAGAGTGGAGAGCAGCATTCTCCCTTCTCCCCATACCATACCATACCATACCATGCATCTCTGTAATTAATCTGTTGCTTACATTATGTACAGTGATTTGTTGATTGCCTTTAAGACCATATTGTGGCAAAGAAGCCGAATTAACAAATGAGTGTACACTCCCTCCTTGGAAAAAATCAAGAAGGTCCGCCGCTGAAATGGCACTCCAATACTCTCATCAGGGCCCACACTCTTATGGGTCTATAACTGTGATATACATCGAATTAAATACTTAATGAGGATTTCTTTTTCAAAGCATCAATGGGTCGGATTAATTTTAATAAAAACACAGTGCAAAGCTGTGAACATGTTATCAGATTTCATGATACTTATTCAATTAATCTAGTTAACATTTGCGTTACCTTTTTTAATATATCTTATCAGTATCTCTTTTGGATAACAAGTGTTTCTTAATTGGTTTGTTGCCTTGTAGTAATCATTTCCGGAGTCCTCACTTTGTAAGCAATTATAGTTGCTTTTATGATGATGTCCACCTTCTTTTCCATTTTTTTGTTTCTTTGTTTTTATTACTTGCCTTTGTGATCTTCATTGTTGAAATAGTCGTGATGGATTAATATGACTTTTCACAAGCGAAAGATTTCACTGCCAGCAGCGACATCCGGGGTTTGGTCAAAGACAATAGTCATGATTTTCATTTAGCAGTAGTTAAAAACCAGCAAAGGAAGAGAGAGGCACATACCAAGTTTCGAGCCACATAAATCTTTTCTTTACTCTCAAGCAAATGCCGAAACAAACCATATGACTATTTCTTATTTTCGAAAGCTCACTCCACTTAGGAAAATAACCCAATGGCACATTATGAAAATCTCCATCTTGCAAGGGAGGTTGTGAACTAGTAGTAGGAAAGAAGAAAAAAAAAAAGAAAACAAAAACCCATAGGAGAAACGGACACAGCAACGACATGGATGGTCGGAGAGGCATAAGAGTAATGGAAATAAGAGGGAGTTGAATTCCGGCAGTAAAACTATGATTCAGCAGCAATTTCCATGGACGTAAGGTTCTCATTCATTGGGGTTTTCTCGCGGTCACTCTCCAGCTGGCTGTAGTTTCCTTTCTCCTTGAAGAGTTGGATGTGGTGATGTTTACAGTAGAGTTTTCCTTCATGCGCAATGTAGTTTGATGGACTAATGGTACAACCTCCATGGGTGCACTTGAAGCAGCTCTTGTGGTGTGGTGTCCCATTCACCGTAACCTTGAGGAACATGAATCATACTCAAATTTCTTTTCCTTTTTTTTTTTTTGGGCTCAATTATACACAAATTGGCATACATTGTCCAATCCAAAAAATTAATGGTTCTTACCTTCTCAATTGGATAGACAGTCTTATTGCATCCTACACATTTTTCTCTGGTGCCACCGAACAAGTTCACGACTTTCTGTGCATTCTGTTGGATCCAATTCAATACCAATCAATGGCAAGATTTATGGTAAACTTGGGGAAAAAAAAATCAGAAAGTGGTTGATATATATATATATATATATGGCTAATGTGGTGTCAATAGTTTCCAAGAATTACCTCATTTTCTATATGTTTTTCAGGTTTGACAATCTTTGGTGTTCCTGAAAGAATTTATTGAGGAAGGAAATGATAGCAGACCGTTTAATAGAGTGATATAGTAATAAATGGTGGTTAAACAGAAATTCACATTTATTTTTTACCTTCAAAACTCTTGTCCAGACTGCCAGTTCTCTTGAAGAGTTGATCATAGTGAGGCCTGCAGTATAGCACTCCTTCGAAAGAGTTGTAGTTGCTAAGCTGCAAAAGTTTTTTTTAAAAAAAACGTTATCTTCAGAAATAGGGCATGGATGGGATATTTCCATTTGGATCTTACCATAATAAACCTTTGCATTATCTTCCTCACCTACTCTGTAAATTTACCTTTTAATTTCCTTGTAAAACAATCTCTCCTACCTCATCATTACATATCTAGAAGAGTTTCTTCATTGTTTTCCCTCAAAATCCTTATGGCATCTACAAGACTTGCTGTAGTTCATCACTTTGAGGAAGAAGAAGAAGAAGGAGAAGAAGAACCATTTACATTTTCATAGCAACTAAGATTACGTGTTATCTTGCCATGCAGACAATGGAACTTGATTAAAATGTAGCTTTCAAAGTCCCCAGAAATATTGAAATTGTGGATGATAAAGTTACCTTGAGAGTACCCTTGCAATGGTGGCATCTGAAGCAAGCCTTGTGGAAAACCCGGTTATCTGCTGTCAGCTTATCAACCAAGTAGACAGTTTTGTCGCATGCCATGCATTTCTGTTGAGTCCCTGCAAATGTCGCCATTTTTCTGCTTCCAAGGCTATATATCAAACACACTACTAACCTTTGGGGAAGAGCAAGAACCGAAAGGCAAAGACAGTAAACCTCGTTATTACTTTTGATTATTTTCTTCCTGAACCGATTTTCATTTACTGGTTCCTCCTTTCCTCTCTTGTTCTTCAATTAGATTCCCTCCTTGTAGGCGTTTATTAATAGTTAAAATGGTAACAAAAACCAATGGGGAGAAGGAGGCGTGGGCTGCAGTGAATTGCGGGCAACACATTAAAGCAGATTTATAGATGGTTGATAGGAATGACCTGGCCACTTTTGCTATCATTTTGTCCGTCTTTAAAGCAATTCCCTACCATCTAATGCTGTACACTAACATTTTCCTTTACATTTCAATCTGTAATTTTCAGTTTTTTTTCCCAAGAAAATTGATCCCAGTAAGCAAATTTTGCCTTCATCTCATACTGTATTCTTTTTTAAAGTAAAATGAATAAAATTAGCAATAATTGACAGTTAAATTAGTAACTAAAATTGTTCACATATTATTATTTTCTTACAGGCAAAATTAGATAAAGTGAAAGGTCGTATGTAACTGGAATTGCAAAGATCAGTCAAAATGGTTTTTATTTTTAGTATAGGTTAATTTACTTATGTTTTGTTAACTAATCATTAGTTATAGATTAGAAATGATAGAAAATGGAAATTTAGGAAGAAACCCAAGAGGCCAAATTGGATTCCCTCTAAAGTGAAAATATTTTTTGGGTCAAGATGATATGCTAATGAAGTTGTTGCATGTTGAAGTAATCAAATGGATTTAAAGTAAAAGTGAAAAAGGGGAGTTGGAAACTTATGTTGATGTTTTAGGTAGATCAACAAGGGCAGTCTGCCTTTTTTTTT